GGCGTCAGTGCAGCTTGAAGATGCTCTTTGCGAAAGGGCATGGTGGCCGGGGCTGGGGCTCCTCCCCCCTTATATTAAAATTATAAATGTCTATAGAACCCACCATTGGGCTGTCCAGATTTGCCCAATTCCTGGCTTCAGCGGCACAGCAAATAAAGGTAGACATGAGGGTTTGCGTTCCTGCTGTTCTGTGCTACCTTCGACTGCTTTAACTTAGGGAGGAGAATTGCTTGTGGCGGCAACCCAAAGATGGGCTGCATTCAACAAAGAGGGGCTTCAGGCAAGACCGAGTGAGCAGACCATCGCAAAACTTGTCATGATTTAGGAAGGACGAGCCCACCTGAAATGTAAGTCATCAGGATATGAAATGTTCCGTCCTGCAGGCCAAAAGCATCCAGAGCAGTTCACATGAGGTCGTGGGAGTAGCTTTTGCAGAGCAACCAGAGCAGTCTACATGGCTTGAAAGGCATAAGTGATAAAGGTTGTGCTTGTTTGCCCTGCCATGGCTGCTTCTGGTGGGAGACCGCCTTGGCATGCACTGGAGTCACTGCAGCTGGAGATTGCAGCTCCGTTGCAAGGTTGTCAGCGATTTAGAATGTCAGTAGGAACATAAAAACAGTTGAGGTGGTGGATGTGACAGGTGGTCAGGTGCATCAGTGTGTCAACAGGGACTCCAGAGGCTCTCCATAGATGCCCGGAATGCGGAGCCTTCACATTCATGGAAAAGCAGCAACTGTGCTGCTCACGCTCGCCCCGCGAGCTTCTAGTCTAGAATGCCTTGAATCTGCAGACGGTCTGTAGTTGCTCAGGATCAGAGCTATGAGCGCGTGACCGCAAAACTGGCGAGCTGCTCGGTTGCATGGAGTGGAAATTAATGCTGGCAGCATAGTGGCAATTACGGACGCTCCAGCAGGTCTCACCGAACAAATTGTAGACACAAACAAATGTGTCAGCGCAGCGATTTATGGTTTTCCAGGTCTGCGCACAGCCCACGATGCCTTTCTCGAGACAGACTATTCAAACAAGCCAGGACCAGGACCAATGGATGCCCTGGGTGTTAAGAGTAGCGCAGCACCAATCTGCATTGTCACGTGCGACTGAGGGCCATGTTGGCCAATAGGCTCCACCCTTAGCATGTGAAATGCTGTGTAGCTGATTTATTCCCCGCATCTTGTTGTTTGGGTTCCTTAGCCCAAGCCAACTAGATCCTGCATGCCTGTGGATCCGCTTGAACTGGCAGACGTCAGAAACATGCCTCACTTCAACAGATGCAGTGCTTGGGCTACACAGGCAGAGCTAACCACAGTTTCCAGACGTCATTTCTGTTCTGGAGTGCGTTGGCAAAATCGGCTAGTCCCAGCAATCTACCATCAAAGGGCCTCATGAAGCGAAGCCATCCAAGCCGTAGACTCGTACACTCTGAAGCAGCCTGTGCCCTGCCAGTCCCTCAAGCGGTGCTCGATGCTAACGTCCATGCCGTCGAAGAAAACAATCATGAGAATCAAGGCCGCCTTCTTTCAAAGCGCACCTGCGGTGGGATGACAGACAAGGGTTCAGAAAAGGGTGTAGGGGAAGTACAGGGTCTAGCGAAGCCCCTTGGTCCCGCTAGCACGTCAAGCTAGTCCCCCGTTCTGTGAGAGTGTTCCGTACAAGCCTGAGCTGGCCAGGCCATGGAGCTTCATGGATGCACGGAGCACGCTGTGAAGTTTCAGGTTAGTAACAAGACTTCCAGTATGTTTTTGCAGTACTGGAAGTAATGATTGCAACAGTTGCTGCAGTTAGGGCAATTCTCATGCCAGCCATAGATTTGCTGGTTCAGGGGTGTCAGAGGGATCCTGCTCGACATGTCAATGATGTCGGAGTCCGTGGACCAAAGCTTATCATGAAGCGATGGCACTCGGCTTCACCAATGCCACCCGAGGCCGCAGACATGGGTCACGTCATCCCATCCGTGCCTGCGGCGCTGACGAGCTATCGCAGCACAGGTGCAGAAGGAGGTGTCGAGAGCACTCGACTGTTTTCCAACTGGCGATCCTTGGCTGGCACAGAGCTTCAGCAACTAGAGCTTTTGAATCATCTCCCATGTGCTACCAGTAGATGCCAAGCTAAGTGGGCTCCTAGAGCTAAGCCACCCTGCCGTGCTGAGCCCCAAGCCCTCGCTTTGAACACAAGTTCGTTGAACAGCTTAGGCACCATGAGCGGACGACCAGACCAAGATACTGCAAGCGCTTTTCGATTACATGGTCGATGGCCCACTGCCTGCAAAATCCCCAAGTAAATTTGCGGTTTGGGCTCAGGCTTAAGTGGTTGAACTTTAGTTGTTTGATCAACAGCCAGTAGACATGTGCGCCCTGCTGACAGGATGCAGCTCTCGACGCACTGCGCGGGCTTCACAACAAGTATGGGTGAGACTTTCAGGACGATGAGGGCGACAGGTTCATGATTATGAGTATGTACTGCGCGGTGCAGCGGTACATTCCTAACGCCTTACTCGAAGAGCTTGTTTTAAAGGGGGCAGGCCCCAAGCTTATCTTCCACAAAGGCGATTGCCCTTGCAAGTGCAGGGCCCCGCCTTCGGCCTGAGCATGACACCTGATAGGCTGTCTGCATGTTTCAATCCTGGCGATGTTCTCAAGCTAGTAGACCTCTTTCAGCCTCACAGCCTACCGTACTGTTGTTGTATAGCACAGGGTGAGAAGCATTTTGCAGCGCGGAGGAGAGTTGGCAGTGTCTCCAAGAGATCGTTCAACCTCTCCGACACAGGCAGGTAGAAAGTCCAATCTTTGGGACCTGTACGGCTGAGAAACCAGAGAAATCAGAACCCACCAAAAGGGCTATCAAGACTGCAGTCCAGAACCGAACTTCAGATGAGCTCGGCAACCTCAGGCTGTCCAGCGAGTGCGTCACAAAACACGTGGGATATGAAAATCATGCGCGAGGCCAATTCAATTCTATCAAGCGCAATTTCCTAGCACTGATGCCAGCATTCCCTGGTTCTACATCTCCCGTTTGCTCCTGTGCTCCTGCCTGCCTTGCGACACCCCCGCAAATTGCAAGGCGCTGAGGAGAACTGCTTGCTGCAACCATTGTAGCTGGGCTGCATCAAGTCAGCTGCAGCAAGCACAGTGCCGCTCCTGCTCCTGGCGCTATAAATTATGAGGTAAAGCTGGGGCAGGTTGCGGGTGGTGGAGGTGGAGTGTAGCGGCCACGTCGGTAGCAGCCGGTTCTCGAACTCGGCTTCCCACTCATGGGTGGACAACCTTTGCTTTGTTGAGCCTGACTGAGCTGCTTATGTGGTTTCTACTGTACCCAAACAATCGGCGAAGACCTTCCTAGAAGTCCATGACAATCTGATCGCAAAATAACACTGACCGGAAACATTGACTACTTGTCCGGGTTGCTGTTGTGTGTTTTTGTGTCCCTGGGGCCACAGGCAAGCTTCAAACCCAGGAACTACATTAAAGCCAATTAGCTTCGGGCGATATCAACCCGACATCGAGTCAAACGTAATCAAAACATTGCTAGATCTCGATCCCCCATTGAAAAAACCTATGGCTCATAGCAAGCAAAATTCCCGCAAACAGCAATTCCACAATTTGTGGGCTCTTCAAAACATGTGCATTCCTGGAGTGGCTGGGAATGCCCATTAGTAGGGGAAGGATTTATTCATGTCAGTTGACCTTCCAACTGAGGCATCCGGAGGGCAACTTCCGAATCTTGTGGGACCCTATCCCAGCATGCACAGTTTCAGCAGCACTTGCATTTGGGTGTTGGGATGGATTTCACCGTGATCAAGGTCAAGGTAGGCATGGCGTCAGATGGACGTCCATTGTGTCAAGGCCACACACACAAAGCCCTTTCAAAGTGGCCTTCTCGTGTCTTTGGACTCATGCAACGCTGCCTGCCTTATACAGTTTTCTGAGACAGGCCATGTGTGTAGGCCCATAGCAGTGATTCTGAGAGTTGTCACCAAAGGCTTAAGGCATGGGAGCTAGCAGTCTTGCATACACATCGCACGTCCAGCTTCAACTCGAGTGGGCAGAAGAGCTCTGAGCAGGAGCCACACTCTCAGCGCTTCAATTAACAGCGGATGCAGCACTGTGGTAGTGTCAGATGTGCATTCTGTTGCGACAGACTTCCAAAATCAAGCAGGTAGACAATACGATTGATCTTATTTAGAAACACAGGATGCCAGCAATATACTCCATGCAGGACTTCATCAGCCTTTTCTTGCTCCTGACTGACGCTGTCCTGCTGCCGGCTGCTGGTCTAAGCCCGCCCACACTTGAGCACGACATGTCCCAGCATGCATACTTCATCATTCTTATCCATGACGTCGCTGATGCGTGTCCTTCCTTTAGTCTGACTCACCCATAAACGTGATTATCTTAGGTCTCGCTGGCATGGGATTGGCGGACTCGGGGCTGCCAACAGATGTTTCAAGAAAGATGGGCTTTGTGCCTTAAGCCTTAAGCCTTTCAAATCCAAATGCAAGCTGCAGAGGGATGTTTGTTCTTGCTGCGGCCGAGCGTTTGGTTACATATGGCTCGCAGGATTTCTTACCAGGCTAAAGGTGCCGCAACATTAGGCAATAAATACGAGATGTCAAAGTCTTCCATGGACCAAGTTATGAGTTTCAGAAACGATCAGTTCATATCTACCTGGTACCTCTGAGGATGTCTTTTGACGATGCCGGCAGCTCCTACCTCGCATTCTCGATTTGGAGCAGTCTCGTGCCCCTTGAGGTGTACCTGTCACATTTTCACACATTTTCTCCTTTGCAGAGAAAGCGGATGATCGGCTCATTTTACGCCAAAGTATCCTGGAGGCCTCAGCATGGCTTGAAACTCAAGAGCTGTGAGGCCTTGTAAGCCCTCAGCTCAGAGGTTCTGTAATCTAGCCAGTAAATGAGCCAATGTAGTCCCCTAAGGCCCCTTTAAAGGATCCCAAAACCCATGGGGTACAACCCTAGGCGTACAAGCCTACGACTCTTGACAGAGGTTCTGGAGCGCTGACATCTTGATCAACCTGAACACAGCTGTTTATATCAAGGGCAAGCTGGTCCTATCACGCAGCCTGGTTTGCATGCTCCCTATAGACCCTAAACGACCACAGAGAGTTTGACCCGGGATTCTAGCCTTGCGCTGCTGTATGGCCATGCAAGCGGCACAAATCCTAAACCCTGAAACTCCAAACTCCAAAACCCTGAACCTGTAAACCCTAAACCTCCAAAGGGCTAAGCCCAGCTTACATCAGACCGGCTGGCATGTGACAAAACCCGGACAGGAAGAAAACTCCCTAAAGGGCGGTTATATAGGGGATCATATAGGGTGTAGCGTTAGGGTCTAAACTCCTTAAAGGGGATCATTTAGGGGACTACTAAAGGGGTATATAGGGGTGAGGAAGGGGATGCCAGGAGTTTAGGCTACAGCTCATGTGACAAACTCTGAGGACGACAGATCTTTTGGCGCTATTTCAAGACCTGGCTCATCATGGATGTTGTCTTGGTAAGCCTGGACTTCCTCAACCTCGGTTCGGACTTTGAAGGCAGGGTGGTGGGTGAGAAAGGGGAGAACTTGCTTTTGGGGCGCGTTTGCCGTCATCTGGCAAGATTTGTAGATGCAGCAGCTCTGCATAGTCGCGGAGCAAAGACTTTTTTTGTAAAAGACGTTCGGGACAAGTTTGGATGCGCAGTCCGCAAGCAGAAAAAGAATGGTGCAAAGGAAGAAGTTGAATGGGCCGCGACCGCGGACTGAGGACAAGAGGTTTGTTGGCTGGCTCATGAGACTCCAAGTTGGAGTGTCCGGCCATTGCTAGGCTATTCCGTCCTACACTTGCTATGTAGCCGTTGAGAACAAAACCATGTCGAAGTTCCAGCTCTCAATATCTCACCCAGCGCCTAAAGGCCAAGTGGCTGCACATTGATTGGACGTATTTTCTTGCGAGTTCTCGTGGCTTCAGATGACAGGCCCTCGCATGAAAGCACAGTGGAAAGTGCCTCCAAGCCGCAGGCGACTTCGCAGTTTTTCGCTTGGGCCGGGTTGTGCGTGTCTTCCGGCTCTTGCCGCTTTGCAGCACGCATCCAAAGCGAACCGCATAGCTGCAGAACTTGCCTCCGTGGTGCATTGTGGTGCGAGGGTTTGTGCGCTCTCTTTCTTGGCTGACACCTCCGCTGCTCTGCAGTGCAGTTAAGCAGCTTCTTGGACCTCTCTTGCACTGCTGACCGGTAGAGGGCTTGCGGCCTGAAGAAGTGGTCACCTAAGGCGTTTGCTGAAGATGACCAAACTTGACGAAGTCCTCCAAGAGACCCTTGGCACAAAGCTTGCACACAGCTTGCAAGTCCTGGCCTTCAAGCTGAAAAGAAAGGCGCTGCAAGTGTAGGAGTTGTTTCGATTTGCACTCCGCGCAATGCACTTTCAGAGGATCTTTGCAGCTGAAGGACCTTAGACCTTTCAGACTTTTCTCAAGCAAGGCGGGCAGCATGGGATGCAGCCCCCACCCTTGCTTTGGAATTATTGCATTCGGCTGAAGTACATTGGAATGTCTGTCAAGCTCGGATTCTTCAATTAAGGATTGCAGCGTCTACTGGCCGTCAGTGGATCATGCTGGTTATGGCCGCAGGGCAGAAAAAGAGCAGTCGAGGGTGTTACGATCTTTTTCAATTGCTTGCATGCTGGTCGCTGCATGCCGCTGCACATGGCTGCAGATATGGCGTGCTGTGTTGCCTTCGATACATTTCGCTGTTTTGGGTTGCTCCATATAAGCTGGAGCACGTGTTGCTACGGCGGACGCCCTTTGAGCCACTAATCGGTGAAAACTTCAAACCGAGGCTGTTCTGAACTCTGCTGTCATCACCATGCTCTTCGCCCACCTGGTCACCTGCATTTGGTTTTGGATTGGCAAATCTGTAACCTGGCTGAAATCACCCTTGCATCGTCACATGGCACAAGAAACCGGGCCTGCCAAACATACTTGGCTGCAATGCTTGTGAAGCTTGCGATGCTCCAGCTGTTTTTACTACAAACTGTGTTCTGAATCGGCCAATTCCATGGTCGCAGTTCTCAGGACCCAGCAACAAGCCTAGCTGATTGTGGGTGACTCCGTGTAGCCTCAACACCAGGCTTAAGCCACAGCAGCCTCACCGAAAACACTTCCACGGCAAGCCCTCGGCTAGCGCGGGATAAGCCACCAGATTAAGAAGTTGAATTCAAGCCAAAGCCAGTCGGAGAGCCTTTGACGCAACAGTGCCTAGAGTAAGCTTGAGCACCTCATCGCATGAATCTGCACTCAGGTTATGGACGAAGGCCGCGAGAGTTGGATCAACCAGGCTGAAGCGCAGTCTTTGGGCCCAAGCATACAGATGCTTGGCAGAACAGACCCGGGTCCGCTCCATGAAGGGCCCGGACATCTTCTTGAGTCCATGGCATGTGTCCTTATTGTCTGGATTCAGTTCTTGTCTTGGCGGACATTGCGAATTACGCCAAACATTCAGTTGCGTCAGGTACATCCACGCCCTCCGTTATGTGATGAATCCCCCTGCACCGCCTGCCATCATGGCAGACAGTGGACGCGAGAGGGTGTTCGACATCATGAACTTCGTGTGCCTTTGCCTGAAGCACCAGGCTTAAAGGCTCTTGCCATAGACTACAGCCATTACTGACCTGCCCTTGTCGGATTACTTTCAGGTTTTGATTCCTTGCAGCTGCCAGTATCGGGCGTCACTGTTTGTAGCACAACCTAGATGGAGGTCAGGCTCGGACGGAAAGTTCTTTAGCCAGACGGCCAACTTTCCCAAAACCCCTGGTTGCACAGCCTGGCATGTAGACTTGCGTGACCGTGAAGGTTCACTTTGGTTGTCATTGGCGGCACTGTTTCCAAGATTTCGGGCACCTTGGCGGAGCTGCGTGCAATGAATCTTGGCAGCTCATGACTTCCTCGGCTTTGGCATCAGGGTCGTGTCTGTCGATGAATTCCCTCACTAACCTCCACACTCATGGGGAGCCTTGCAGAGGTAGAGCACATGATGCATCAACCAAGTTTGAAAGGCATGCTTGTCTGCAACACTGCCAGGAATGAGTCCCGCGCGCGGCAGAGACGGGAGATACGGGAAGCTTGGCCAAGAGGTGGGGTTTTGTAAGCAAGGCAGCTCAACCCTGTACAGGTGCTACTTGTTTGTCTTCGGCTCTTGGACTTGTAGGCTGGGCTTGCAGGAGTGAGAACCGTGAAGTGAAGTGCTGGCAAATAGCTTCGTACCCGTCTCCACCCTCAGGCCCTCAGGGCCCTCTTCACAATCTGTATCTGAATCTAGCAGGGTACGAACCATGCACGCTTGTGACTGACTCCTGGGAATCTCCAAAGCTCCATGGGGACCTCTTTTGATAGACATGTGCTCCAAATCTTTGCATTGCTGGTATCACTAGTTGTTTTAAGGGCGCATATTGCTTGGGAGGTCTAGCAGCAGCAGCAGCAGCAGCAGCAGCAGCAGTGGTGATGGGTGCGTTGGCGGCGGTGGTTTGTAGTTGTAGTTGTTGTCATGGTCGTGGTTGTAGTTGTGCCTGTGGTACAAGTTATGGTTCGTATTGGCCGTCCTCTCTGTATTGAGCAGTTGGGGGGGAGGGTTTTCTGCGTCCTCGTAATCATGTTTGGTAAGGGCAGCGGGAAGTCGGGGGATCCCAATGCTGAATCCAAGGTGTATCTGAGCCATCAAGACGCATCGTTCGAGCTCGTGTCGCGCATCATGAGGCACCCTGTAAGCCAAAGAGTCGCTGTCGCTGACTTATGCGATTGCAGATCATGCGACTGGAATGTTCGCCACATGCCGAGAAAGGCTGCTTCCAGTCTAGATCAAGTCGCTCAAGAAAATGCATGTTCAAGTACACAGACATGCTTGCAGCAAGTGTTGCAGGCTTCTGATCCTTGTACTGCGCAGAGCGTCTACGTTCTGTTGTGGGGCTTTGGGACTGCCGGCCATTGCCCGATGTTCAGGTTTGTGGACTACAAGCTGGAGAAGAATACTCCAATATCTTTCGACAGCGTCCTGGACCAACCAATTTCAGAGGATGAAGGGTGTTTTCTTAGATTTGTAGTGCCGTCTCAGCGCTATGGTTCCCAGTTCAGTGGCTGTTTTGCTGCTGGGGTAATTTTCTGATGCCATCAGCAACGGTTTAGGCACAGCTGCCTAACAATTCTGGAGTGGTCATATGATGCAAGTGGCCTCAAGCATAATATCGTGGGCGTGTGAGGGCCCGGTCATGGAGAGGACGATTTTTGAATCCGCTGCAGAAATTGTTCTAGCCTCCCTCCCCTGCCGCATTCTTACTGCAAGCGGGCACATGCGTATGGCCGCTTGCCAGGCTGGAGATAGGCTCGTTGCTTTCTCTTACCCTCATCTCTTCAAGCATCATGGTGTCGCATCAGGGATAGTCATGCAGGCACATTGATTTCCCTCACTCTTCAGACGGAGCTCTACGTGAACCAAAGAGGCGGGTGCCTCAACACTTCAGAGGAGGTTCTGTCCCATTTCTCGCACGGCTAGCCCAGCATTTTCAATCTGGAGCAGCCCGCAAGTCTCGGTCAGTGGCAGCACACATGTGCACCAATTCAAGTGGATGGAGCTTACGTGGAGCATTTCTTGCCAGGCAAGTTTCTCGAGTCTGTTCCAATTTTCGGGCTGACCAAGCAAGCCTATCCTGACTGCTGCTTGGCTTTTGTCGAATAGCCTTGTTACACTTCCGCTTGATGATGCCTATGGCATCCTTGTTGGCACGTGGTCACAGGATATTGCCGGCGCAGGTCAAGTCCCGCCCACCTTCATACAACGCAGTCACTGCAGTGATGGTGTAGCACTGTGCCTTCTTGTTCTGGATACAAAACAGGGTCATGCTTCTTCTGAACATTCCTGCTTCTTTTAATCTTGCTAGTTCCAGTCAGGTTAATCTTGAGACATTATGGTGTGGTCGCAGTGCACGAAATGTGCAAGGCTTCGCCAGCATTTGCGCTACCCTGGTCAAGAACGTCTTTGAGAAGAAGGACAGGAAAGATCATGCAAGGTAAGAGCACGGGTCGGTGGCGTCCCTCATCCAGTGCACGGCCCTTGCATAGACGTTGTCAAAATGGCAGTTGCTTCATCAAACCTCATTGGTGTGCAGCTTTACTTTGACATTCAGTTTTGCCAGAACCGCACCTTTAACCTTCAAGTTGTTGGCCTGCTCGGTTTGTCTCACCAGGAATGCGTTTTTATGGCCGGAGCTGTGGCAACTTCCATGTACCTGACCGCCACGGGTACGTACAGCCACCTCGACGCTGAGCGCCTGACTTTCTTATGGGGACAGTATGAACTTAGGGGCCGTATCCAGCTTCAGGCACGTGAGACTGTGCGTGGGCTATGCCCAAAACATGCTCTGATTTAAAGACATGTGCAGCCCAGCCTGTTTTGCATGGGCATGTGGCTAGAACCGCTGCAATACGCATTCACTGAAAGCCCGCAAACATCCAGACTGGCTGCCAAAGTGTTCATGCGCTAAGGATAGCGATGCCTCGGAGGAGATCTTCACAGGAGAGCATTGGTTTGAAGAGATGAGTGGCTTGAATCAATTGATGGTCAAGGCCCAAGGCACTCGGAGACATCAGACGTCGCATGTGGTGGGACATGAACAACTCGCAGTCATACATGGAATGCTTCCGGCTTTCTGTGCATCAATGCTCTCGGTGCTACTCTGTTCTCTTTTGCGCCTGTCAGGCCTCTATGCTGAAAGCTTGGTTCATCACTCGACGTTAACCGCCAAGACTTTCGGTGAAGTCTTCACCCTTGACGGAAAGGACACTCTGGGATTCAATGCCAGCCTTTCGCTCAAGCTGCAGCTTGCTTTGTTCCAGGGATTTTCCTTAAGACAGAGAAAGTTTTGCGAGGGCAATCCTGAGCATCCTCAGCTTGAGGACCTGGTCGATTGCCTGCAAAACTCGCCTACTTCAGCTTCGATGCTCCTAGGCCTCGTTCCTCCCAGCTAAAACAAGAGGACCCTGGCTTTGGAAACCAGGGTGCAAGTATGGGGCCCAAAAGATACAAGGAGCGGAGTTCCTAAAGAAAGTGAAAGTGAGAAGCACGCTGAGATCCCAGGTTTTGTGGCTACGCCAAGGCATTCGTGGAGCCTCACTTGCAAAAGGAAGCGCTAGCAAGCAAACCCGCCAGCTAGGCAAAAGATTTGGTTGATGCGTGCACGCATGCCGAACTTTGTTAGAGGGTTGAGGTCGTTGAAGCGAACTGATGAGGAATACCTTATTTGGTGGGGTACACGGGATGTCGATTTTTGGCATGCCCGCAGGTCCACGTTTGCCAGTTGTTCTCATGTCATGCTTGCTAGACCAGGATTCGGCATATTCGGCATGCGACATGTTTTGTGAAGGTCGGCTGTTTGATGAGGAGCTCACCTATGCCACACTGCATTGCCAAAGAAAGGTTTAGAAGGGCCTTGGGGTGGTGTCATCCCTGCTGACCACCTGAGGAAGCGATGCAGAAGACCTCTAGCCTTACCATCCATCGCCTGCAGTGGCCACGCTGCAATCATCGTAGCAGCCGGTTGGCTAAAGGGCTGTATATTTCACGGCAACGCATTCTGGCATCAGTTTGTGCATTCTCTGTCGCCCGGAGACGGGCAACTGAGACTAGCCTGCGGACCTCCTCTTTTTTGTTTTTCTCTTTCTCTCTGTCTCTGTCTCTGTCTCTGTGTCGATGTCACAGTTGATCAGGATGAGCTTCAGAAGAGAATGTGCCTCGAGGAACGCCCTACACGGTCCCCCTGGCACCTGCATTGTTTAAGACAGCGTGCTCATTGGCACGAGTTTTTTCAAGCTCGCAACAAGGCTGATCACTGCAGATCACTGTTGCCGACATACGCCCGAGTATCAGGACCCATTGGGAGATGTCAGGCTGCTTGATGTTAGTTAGCCATGGGGCCAGTCCTACTTCCTACTTTGTTTCTAGCAGGCTCCAAACTGTTTTCTTGGCTGGAGCTAAGAAGGTCTGCGTACAGCAAGGACCTGCCTTGTTCCGGCAGATTCCGGCAGCCTCACCTGAAATGCCGACGCACATCTATGAAAGGTTGAGGGGCATGCAAGCAGGCAGTTTGCCGACGATTCGAACCCCGGGGCAGCGCTTTATAACTGCTCATCATGATGCCGCTGCACTCTCGAGCCCGGCCCACTTAATTTGCGAGCCCGTCGATGTCTGGCAAGACAAAGTTTTCAGGGCAAATCTCTGGAAACTGGCTCCAGCTAGCTCCAAAAACAAAAGCCGAAACCTGATCCCTTAAAGAGCTAGACGTATGCCCATCAGTGAAGCCACCTGCAGAGGAGCTTTACCCTGACCCGCAGACCCGCCTTGACAACATCAGCGTTGTGCCAGAATTCATGAAGCCAGACTTCCAGGCGCATCACAACAGCAAGAACCCAGTAAAGTTCAATGAGAGTGGAGAGGCAGAATGCCCAGATAGCATCTAATTTCGTTTTCTGCCAGTGAGTCTATTAGAAGCAGCAAAAGTTCAGTAGTTGGATGGACAGGAATCACCCATGCATTGATTTGAAGGCTATGGCATGTTTGTATTGTCCTGAATGGGCAAGCCTCACGGGTTTATCATCAAGTCTATACGGCGGTGGTCAGGTAGATACGATGCCACAGTGAAAGGTGTTGGCAAAGTGCCGTAGCAACGAAGCTGGAGCATTTGCCAATATGCCTCATCATGCCTGTAGCGGGAAGAATTCAGCGCTTAGGGCACACCATCACATCCGGTCTTGCCCAGCCATCAAACACAGCACATCAGCAAAATACAAGTTACAAAAGAATGAAGCTACAGGGATGTCAGTCTCTGTAGCAGTGCTGAAGCTGCTCAGACCTCTCCGGCAATCCTTGTCCTTCTGTCACAGGCCTGTCTTTCTGCTAGCTTCGTGCTGGCTTGGCTACACATTCCTAAAATCTGCCTGTTTGTTGGAATGCGTTGTTCGTGTAGTTGCGGAAAACTTTTTTCCTTCTTCTTGCTTACTTTCGAATCCTGTTCGCCGTTTGCGTCACTGACACCGCCATTCAGTCCTAATTACTTTTTTTTGCTGGGAACACCATCGGGTCGTCTATAATGGCTGCAGGGAGTGCATCCGGCAGTCATTGCCTTGCATCGCTGAAGGCTAGGTAAGTTGGATGAGAATACAGTCCGAACTCAGCTGAAGCCCGGCGCCCCAAAGTTCTCTGAGGCCTCCATGTAAACAGAGCTTTGATCAGATCCAACCCTTTGGCCAGACAATGTCGGGGAGCACGTGCAGTTTCCGCTCCGGAGGGTGTCTTGGACCCAACATGATCAGATGCTCCCTTAAAGTGGCACTTATAGTATTACAGTAGAGGTGATTCAGGTTTAGTGTTCCTCTGAAGTGCCGCGACAAGAGTTCCCCTCTTCGGAATGGGATTTGGCTTCAGCTTTGTCTTTCGTGGGCGTCGTGGTTGAGAGTTGAATGTCTGCGGGTTCCACACGTCGGCTAAAGTACGTGATGCGCAGGGCCAAGGTTTCTCGGAACAAAGGGTTGCTTGTTGCTACCGTGCTATTTTGCCAGCAGATCCTCGTGCTAGCAGTAACCGTCAAGTATTGAAAGTACTCTTGACGACTTGCTTTTGAAAAAGCTCGCACCTGCTCCTCATTTGGTTTCCCGAAGAATGTAACCCTAAACCCTAGCCCCTAAATAGTAGTTTCCATTTTATTTCCATCATCCCAATATTACCCTCATACTGCCCCAATCGGCCGCCACATAGACCACACCTTGAAAAAGCCACGGCTACATAGGCTGCCGCAGCTGCTCGCAGACCTGGATCAAGGTGGTTTGCAGCCTGCCGCTTGACAGACTTGTTTAGGGGGGGGCGTGAGAAGCTTGCAGTGCGGAATTCTGGGTGTTTGGAAGATCGCATGTCCGTGCAGCTTCTGCTACTGTAGCTGAGCTAGAGCGGGTTAAGGGCACAGCGCTTGTGAAAGGATCATTCGCGCCAAGCACAAACCTTGCCCCAGCTCAGGACAACATCGTCATGAGGCTCCAGATGCTCAGAGCAATTCTTCATAGTTCTGCTTGTTCTGCCACCACGAAGGAGTTCACGTGCTACGGTAGGCTGCCAAGGTTTGGCCGCTTTAAGCAGCCCTCCTGAAGGCCACACCTCTATCACCCGTCTTATTGGTCAATGCGCGGATTTCTTGCAGCGATCATTTTACTCTTGTGAGGACTGGTTCGTTGTTGCTTTTTGCCTGCGATTCTTGATTTTCACCTCAGGAACTGCTTGCCGGAGCTTCATCCAGACACGGGAACGCATGCGATTCTAGAGCCATGCCCGCAAACAGTGCCACTGCTAGGCGACAGAAGTGCTAGGTCTGAGCTTAAAGTGATTGCGAGGCAAAATCCACTCAGGGGTTGCGAGAGCTGGTGATCAAGACCCCCTATACGACTATAAGATGACAAGTTGGAGACAGGATGGCAAAAAAATACATCGCATCTGATGCTAGGAATGCCAAGATTTCAATTGTCCAAGTCATGCAACCAAGCCACTTGGGCCCGGAGCAGGTGGTTTTCATTCAAGAAACGGTGCAGCCATCATGCAACAGCTGCAGGGCATTCCCGCGGCCCTGAAGGAAATGCTTATGCAAGTTCAGACTGTTTTTACTTGAGCCTGAATTGGCCAAGCTTCCCGAACCTTTGAAAGTGAGTGGAACCATGTATTTTCTGATTTCAAGTGCTGAACACGTGTCAGCCAAGGAGCAGCTGTTTGAACGAGACAGAGGTGTTTCTTCTTGCCGCTTGGCCGCAGTGTCAGTGAGCCGCTCTGAAAAGGAGGTTGTTTTGCTGGGTTGCTTCGCTGGACGCGGCAAAGAAGCAATGGTCCTTCTAGTTAGCTGGAAGATAGCCAGCTCACCAAGCCGAAATCAACTGCAAACGCCTACGATCATGCACAGCAGCTTCAGCTTCTGAACCGCAAAGTCTGCAGGCCTAAGCATTAGCTTTATCAACGCGAACAAATGACCCGTACACATGTGTATATGTCAGTGCATGAAAATGTGGACACAATTCTATCTATATGTGATCTACATATTTAGGCGGCCATTTTTGCTCGGCTTGCGTTTGACATCACACTTCTGCTTGTGAGCTCTGGTCTTGTCCCCCTGACGGTCGGCAACAGCAGGCACATGTGAAATTCAACAGCTTGAGCCTCTATTGCGTTGGCTCGAACTTTCCTGAAAGTGTCTTAAACAAAGGAGCCCGCCAAAAAACTACACCTTGGCAAGAACAAGCTGTACGATGATCTGCATTCTGTACAAGCTATAACAATATGTCAGGTGTGAGTCTGCTGGCGCTGGTCTACGACGACTACAACTTGTTCGTGAAGCCGCAGATGATTCTTCGACAGACTTAATGCAAGCTGGAGGGATGTGGGTGTTTTTGCTTCCTCTTGGCTGAATTTGCTCGAGCTTAAGTATTGTGAAGTAGGAGCAGATCCCCTCCGATTGAAGGAGCGCAGGTGTTTGTCCAATGGACTGAAACCTTGCATTTTCGAGAGAGTCATTGAGGCTGGCACCAGTGGAACCAACGACAGCTGCACAGTGGAAGCACCTGCGAGAACTTGTGGCATGGGTGTACCTGAGCTGAAGCTTATAGCTGTGGCTTTTGCCGTGTTGCGCAGGTAGAAAATGGTCTCGTGCTTTGGGCTGTACGCGTCCTACTTGATCGACATGAAGTTTATGGCCCGGCATGCAATTTGAATTCACTCGCAAGGAAGCCAACACAGGAACAGCTGCAAGCAGTGCTTGTGCTCCTGGCCATACGTGGACTTGGCACCTTGGATCCAGAAGCATAGGCTTTCCAACTGTCTCCAGACCAAGTGTCGATCCGCAAAAGCAGTGACTCGAAGCCATCCGATGGAATCATGTCAAATCATTTGGACAGACCTCAACCTGTCAATCTGCCTCAGGAAAGTCTTCGGTTCTCATGAGCCAAATCCCTTCCAGTCACGGGCGGCCCGAGCAGGTGGTGCTTTACTTAATCAGGACGCTGCCACATAAAAGATCTCAAGACGTCAAGTCCGGGCTTCCAGAATTGGATTCCCAAAGCCCAGTTCAAGTGGATTGGAAACTGGGTTGGATAGTCACGGCCACACCACTGTTGCAGTTCCCTTGCAGCGTAGTTGCTAGAACCCAACTGCTCTTCGAAATAAAGAAGTAACTTGTGTCAGCAGGAAAGCTCCGAACGTGGTGCCATCCACACAAGGCCTAAGCGAAAAGGCCCGGGGCTTTATGGAGACACTTGGCCAGCAATTCCTGCAGGCTGCACTTTTTCCTGGGAAATGACCACTTGGTTATTGTTTGGTTTGCATTTTAGCGCTTACTGTTGCTATAGCTCCTGTTGTAGGTGAAGATGCTTTTGATTGGTCAAAACCAGCAGACCTGGATGCAAGCTGAGGAACACCCTGTTGCTGCATGAGGTGTTCAACCTTGCCCAGATGCTTCAGGGCGAAAACGTTCCTGCACCCTGGATGGGTCAAAAGCCATGCGACGCAACCGAAGCTAATCAGTCTTTGAGAGGCTTGGACAGTAGACACATTAACAAGCATTGCATAACTGGAAGCATTATGTCGATTTAACAGCTGCCCCCTGTGGATGTGGCGTTTGCGCTGGGTGATTGCTGCATGTTTGCTGGAATGGTGGAGTGTAGGCATGCAAAATGCGGAGGACGGAACCACAGCAGAAGACTTGACCAAGGGTGTGCAATGCTGGAAATAGGATGCCTGCAACAACGGCACCTCTAGACCTGGCTCCCCGTTTTCCCTTGGAGAACTAGAGAGGGAGCAGCGAAGCGATTCAGACTGACTAGAACCTAGTCAAGGCCAATGTGGCGCAGCTTCAAGAGCGAACGCGCGAATTGGGTGAAGAGGTGCAGACTGAACCTGGAGCTTTCAATGAAGAGTGCTCGACATTGAAAGTTTTCTCTTTGGGTGCCCACTCCGCGGCGCTTGGTGCCAGGTCTTCCACTTCTACATCCTCTTCTTGCTGGGCTTCATGAGCCACCTGGCTCATGCAAAGCTCCGGAAAAGCCAGCGGTTCTCATGAATGAAGGATGACCGGAAGAGAAACAGCTGGGGCCACTTGCTTGTCATTTTCTTTCCCTATCCCTTCCACACGGTACGTACTTGGGCAGGGTGACAGCTGCTCCACAGATGCTGGGGGAAGATTAGGAGACAACGAAAGAGGGCTGCAAGGACGAACAGTCCATCAAGCCCAGCTGAGGTGGTTTGGGAGGAGGGCACGGTTCGAAGTTCATGCATTCACGGCACGCGCAGAACCTCATCACCGGCATGCTGCTTGGCTTTTCACGTAGCATGGAGGGGCTACAGGTTTTGAATCTAGGTTCTGCGCCTTAGCCAAAATCATGTCCTCGGAGATGACGGTTCCATACAATTTGCTGCTAAACAGGAGGACATGCTGTGCAACAACTGGAACCTCCGCAGCTTGCACAGCCATCATGCAAGTTCGTACCTGCTGCTGGCTGGCGATCTTGCGTATGCTGACTGTTTCAAGATGCATCCTACCCATGTAGTGCCTGGACATCCAGGGATGTAAAGCCTCGACATCCAGCGTTTGGCTAACCATGCAAAAAATTACTCCCTGAGGCAGATGTTGAGACATTTGATGGGCAGCAGTCCGTCGAGCATTTACTGGGGCTACATCGTGTCTTGGCAGCGGAGTTCAAGAAGTAATGTTGAGAAATGTTGCAAATCCTGAGTAGCCTGGGGTCCGCTTTTACGCGCAAGTAATACTTCAGAACATAGGGCCTCTCAAAACACTGTTCGGGCGAGGCCGATTTACGGCATGCACCTGCTTTGCGAATCCGCATTGCTGCGACCTACCTGGGCCTGCAAAAGTGATCCCCATGCACCCCCTGAATGAATTCGATGCTGCCCCAATCCTCGGCATTCTATCCGGAACCCCTTGAAAGATGCGTGAAATCCCTTACGAGCCTTAACAATTGGGACAACCGCTCCCACGTCAGTGCTTCTCGATTTGTTTTGCAAGGTGGTCTAAGGTCTCTGCAAGTGCCCAAGCTCCTCTCGACTGTTGGCACATCATTTTCGATTAGCTTGGAATCAAGTTCAAGTCATGTCTGCCATCTGTTGGGCATTGCTCCGTCTCTCATGTAAAAAATGTTTGCCATCTTGTGATGCCACGCAGCCTGAGCAAAAAAAATGTCAGGGCTGCCGCGCCCGTGCGCTCCAGGCTCCCCTGGCAACTACCGAGGATCTCGGAATTCGTGCACTTCTTTGCAACGGTTTGCCAGGGGGCTGCGCTGCAGCTTGCAGCTGGGTCCGGGCTGTCGTTAGACGTTGTTCGTGCATCCCGGCTCAGTTTTCAGAAAAGTGATATTCGTGGCTTCGTTGACAGGAGCTCGCCCTCATGCGCCTGGCCTGCTTGGGAAGGGAGCAAGATCGACTCTTGGACAGATTTTGTGTTTATGCCTACCACATATGTTGCTTCTCAAAGCAATCACTGCTGAATTCCTGACAAGGATCTCCACAATCCCCTGATGATCCCTACGTATCCCTTGAGGTCCCTAGGGAGACTCAATTTTGAGAAGCCTTGCCCATGACTACCAGGAGGTGGCTACGTGCTGCTGCAGCAAGCCTGGGGACTCCTCGGTGGCCGCGCCTCTTGGTTTTGCAGAGCTTTCTTGCAAGCTGCCCCTTTGAGTCCAAGAGTCAAGACACATGGGCTAAAGGATCAGTAAAAGGGATGGTTTGGATTTGGTCCCTCATTTTCAAGGCCCCAAAATCAAAACACATTCTTCAAGGTCTTCCCAACAATGGCCTGAAATTGAATAAACGGCGTCCAAAACACGTCAGTCAAGGTCTCTTTACTGAAAGCAGTGCAACATTAAGCCAGGGCACCCATATGTCTGATCATGAGCACCATGCAGTCAAGGAGCGAGCCACCCTCGTCAATCACTTGTTGGCGGACGGTATTCGGCGCACCTTGCTCGCATGCTGTGAATGCAGTTTTCATGCCTGATAGAATCATGTCTCAAGTGCCCATGCTAATTTTCGGTCTATTGCCTTTATCTGACACACACTTCCAGGAGTGTTTCAGAAAAACGCCGAGCTGCAAACCCTCCGGGCATTCAGGGAAAGCCCGGGTGAAGTCTTCTGTAGTTGGAGCTTAGGTTTTTTTTGATGTCACAGGGGCTCAGAAAGAGGCCACTGTCTCATATACCTAGACTGATCGCTCCCAGGAATACCTACTTTCCATGAACCATCGCCAAGGAGAGCTGTAATTGCGCAACAGGAGTTTTGATTGCTTCAAATCAGCGCATGGACTTACCTAGCCTTATTAAGATGGCCGTGAGCCAGGATCAACAAATAGGTTTGATTCAACTAGAGTTAACGGGTTCAACTTTGAGTTGCTCTTGCAGGCGGGGACCTCAGACCTCGGTTTTAAAAAACTTGAGTTTGATGTTTCAAGCTTTTGGAGTTTTCCTGATAGCGTGGGGGGGGGGGCTGCGAGGGACGATGTTTGACAGGGTTGATTTGGGCTTCATGTTGCAAGCTCTGTGTGTTTCCCTGTTCGGTGCGGGGGTAGGGGCAGCGGGAGCGCAGAGGGCGATGTTGATTATGCTGGCAAAGCAAGCAAGTCAAGTCCTGCGGACAGCCTTCACACCGGCCAGCAGAGTCCACAGGAAACCCAGGTGTTCAGTCGCAGACACGCGCAGACCCGAGCAGCACCTAAAGCATGTGTTCGGTTGTCAGAATTATGGTCGCTTTTGGTGGGCACACTATACCTTTTGAGCTGTATGATGTGCAGGGAACACTGAAGACAGGGATCATGATTTTGCCAACCTGAGTGCGGCTGTAGTCAGGTCGAGCAGTCATCCTTGAATTCTTGCCGGATTGTGTGCAGAAGTCCAAAAACAACAATGCGGCTTCTCGCCTGCATGGCAGCGGCAGGCCAGACAAAGTAGGAGACTCTAGCTTATGAAGAGTGTATTGGGCCTCGGTTGACAAGGTATTAAAAACATGCCAAGAGACATAGCTGCTTTCGTTCCCCATGGGTCTTAGCCACGTTCTTGCATCGTAATCGTTCCTGTTCTTGTCGGATATGCTTTCTCAATTTTTGTTTATCCAGATATGACCATTGAGGCTGACCTGCTATTGCCAGGTAGTCTGGGGACAACTCCTTACTGTAGGCACATGCACCCATCAACCCGGACTACGCTGGCTGCAATCCCTCTATCAGGTTCTCCCCTACTTCAACACGGCGGCTCTAAACAGCCCTCATGGAATTCCTGTCCTTACCGTCCTTACTTGCATGCCTTTGATCAAGGGGGCTGTCATTGGTCCTTTGGGATCCGAGGTTGGTTTGACCAGACTCTTCGAGGCAACTCGTTTGCAGAAAGTCTCCACTTCCCAGACAGCTGCAGCTCGATAAGTAGATATTGGGCTGTGGAAATCCCGCTCAGTCGCGGGACAACTCACCCCTTGTGACACCCCTTTGTCGTGGGCTTTTGTTACATACCTTTGTCGCGAATGCCTGGCAAGGGCATGCCCCACATAAAAAGCTTGTCGCAAAAGGGCTTGTCGCAAGCCAGGAAATCCTGTTACAAGCCTATGTTGCGGAATGGCCGTCTAATCCTGTTACAAACCCGGTGTTTTTGATTCACAGCCATTTAAAGAGTACAACCACCCCGTGGTCTTTGTTCATCAAGAGAGGAAGCAGAAACCTGTACTCACTGTACTCGGGGCATTGCTTGGGGGACTTACAAGCGACTAAACTTCTGGAATGGTCAGCTCTGGTGTCGTTGACCTTGCTTGCTGCTGACGCGAAATATGTTATGCAAAACGTGCATGGAAGTAGCGAGGCTGGGACAGCAGCTTAGTTTGAAATTTGGTATTTACATGTATATACATTCCTTCCCAAGGTGATGGTTGATCTCTTGGACAACTTATCGACCGTGCTGGAAGCGTCTTCAGAGAAGGTCATCCTTGTAGACTTATCCGACTTGA